AAAACAGCGGTTAAATTGGTTTGAAACGTGCAATTACCCACATATATGAAACCACGTATCTACATTTGATACGTATCCTCCCTTAACAATTATTCTGACGTACTGAGTTGAATTTCAGAGCTTAATCATCGCTTGAATGACTTAAATGTACATCTTTGTTGGGTATATTTTAATGTCGAAGCGTGTAATAAATGTTAGAATTTATTTATTTATTTATTAAAATATGGCTATTTAGGTGGTTTATCTATCTGTATACTCACATGTCATGATACGAGCTTCATTATTCATTTGTACTGATAATAATGAAGTGCTGTAAAATGGCGGTTAATAATGATCCAGAGAGATATTATTCTATAATTTATGTAGAATGTAGATCATTGTTTAATAAGTCTGAATGGATGTACAAAATTTTGTAAATTTGCAGCCGTCTCACATGTCACTATAAAGTGCTTGTCACTATATAGTCCTGTCCCTATATAGTGCAGCAATCCTCAAATGTATCTAACCATCTCATTATAGCTTGTTGTGCTCTCTATAGTACTGTTTGGCTATTATGGCAAGTGAACTCCAATCCGTAGCAGAATCTACGGTAAAACTTTTCTTGTCAACTAATTTTAGATTTTAGTACTGCCAAAATGAGTATATCCTCAATATTCTGCTTCTCAATTTGTAAGCAGTAAATTCTAATGTAGGAATCAACATTATCATAGAAGTGTTGAAAGTAAACCCTTTTAATGCTTTCAACACAGCTGTGATCTAAACCAGGTATTATCTGGCAAGCTAATAACCTGATGTTTCAGAAATGGAAGATGTTCTTCCCAGTGACCTTCATCATGTCCATCCTGTGGATCGCAGTATTCTCCTACCTCATGGTTTGGTGGACTGAGACACTCGGCCGAACTCTTGGCTTGGGAGAGAAACCAGAGGTTTGTCTACACTTCAAATAGTTTGTTAAACTCTTACTTTTTGTGTGTGTTCTTTACACAGTGAACACACAAGTTCAAGTCATTACCTTCGAAGGTCTAAATTAGATTAGTCTCATGAAACTTAGATTTGAAACAAAAGAAAACAGATGCGATTTTGACGTCACAATTGTTGTGACCTTATATAGTGCAGAGAGTACAGAACATTCTATAGTTATTACAATGTATGTATAGTGTATACATCAATATCCTTGGAACACTCCGACTCATTGTAATATTTCCATGGTTAGGTTCGCAAATCAAGTTCCCTGATTATTTTTTCCATCCTAACATGCACTTTTTAGTCTGGAAAGTAGACGTAAATTCTACGTCTACTTTCTAGTAGATGTTTCTAGTAGTTACTTTCTGCTACCTCCATGCCAACTTTACCCAGCTGCCACTGCACCAGCACGTTATAATTGTAGTAACCTCTGAATGGTACCCTCTGCTTGTTGGTAATTGTAAGAGATACTAGTCAAAAGCTATACTCGGGAAAATGTAAAATCAGCTATTATCTAATCTTTCTGCTACGTTAACAGCATCTTACTATTATGTCAATAGAATGAAGTAAGTAAGATTTAGGTCTTCATTGCCTTGAAGGCACTGCCCAGTGTTTAGTTGTGTTCCCAGGTTCGTCCTTGTGGGCAATCTTACATCTACAAGATTTAACTTGTGGTTGTGCATCTTACCATCTCATTATAGCTAACAACATGAACAATCGTTAAACATTGTCAGATTTGAACCTCTCATGGCAACACCCCTGTCACAAACCCACTGGCAGGGAGTCACCAAGAGCTATAAGTTTAAGTTTAAGAGCTATTATAATTTCACTTACTTTACATTGCAGACCAATAATTAGAACAGTGTCCATATATATTACGAAAAAAACGTGATTAAGACTTCGGTATATGGCAAATATACGGAATAAGGGATGTAAGGTACATTATAGGGTACAGGATAATGTGAATGTTGGTATTTATAACATAAGGTTATAGATGTAAAGTATATTGTAATGTTAAATATAGTCTATAGATTTAAGATACAAGGTAATGTTAACTCCAGATCTGAGACACAAGGTAATGTTATCGAGTTAGAGTTTTCTGCACTGTATCCAGGAGTAGGGGCTTGTCTGGTAGGGTGTCTAGGAAGTTTCCAAGAGATGTCTTGAAGCTTGTCAAAGTCCTTTGAGTATTGACAATTTCGGGGAGAACATTCCAGAGTCTTCCAGCTCTCACTGCGAATGAGTGATCGTAGGTGGAGCGTGCACCAGCTGATGCTTTTTTTGTGAGAGAAGGGAGTATTACTCCCGGAGTATAACTTTAACTCCCAGTCTGGCATTCTCTCTGAACTGTACATCTAGGTCATTTGGACATATACCCTGGAGAACTTTCCACAGATGTATCATGGTGTAGCGTTCTCGGCGTCTTTGCAGTAATGTAAGTTTCAGTTCCTTCAGTCTATTCCAATAATCGGTGTCTCTGAGCCCTAGAATCCGTCTAGTGAACTGTCGTTGTATGCTCTCGATAGACTGGATATTATAGATCTTGTTTGGATTCCAAAGCGGGCAGCAGTACTCCACTCTGGACCTTATCAGGGATTTATAGAGCTGGAGCATTACAGGTGTTGTTCTGTCTTTGAATACTCCAAGAACCCAAGATGCCATCTGACGTCTTCTCAACTCGAAATCTTTCCTTCATAAGCCCGCTCATTGGATGTGAACTAGAGGCTTCGTTATTCGCCAGAACGAATCTAGGTTTATTACGCGCAAAAATTGTACACGCCGTATTTGTGATAATATGCTACAGGAAAAAGTTTGGATTTGGCGGGAAATTGATGACGATCCTAAATCCTTGCACCGTGCACACTCTATAATTCCAGAACATTCCAGGATTTAAGGCAGAGTTTTATAACATGTATGTTGGTCACAGTTATTTTTTTGCCGAATGAAAGAAAATTGTAAGCAATAATTGCGCGAGCATAACACGCGCATTTCTGAGCCGCGCGTCATTGAGCAAAGTTTTTTTAAATTTTAGCCTTTTCAAGCTTTAAAGTCAACCATAACTTGACTTCTGATGATAACTTAACTAAGTAATTAATACTATTGTAGAGGTAATCGTTTATACTTCAATTCAGTTAAAAATTCAGTCCGAAAGAAGGTAAATTTTGTCTCAAATCGCTACTAAAGAGAAAAATTCGGATTTGTGTATTTTTTGGACAACTTTCTGAGTCTTCAGCATTCTCTCTGGTATTGAACTGTTTGATTTCTCAGGTTTATACAACCTCCGGAAGTACAGAGAACAGAGCATACACAGTGTGGAATCTCGATAGCCTCTTAAGAGGACGTAAAAGCAACTCTGATCTTGGAGGCGGGAATTATCAAAGATTTCAACAATTCCAGGTCACGATTTTCAACAGTAAGCCAAGTTTAGCAGTTTGAGATGCACTGGATTTCTCTCGTTACTGCACTCAAGTGTCAGATTTAATTTTACTGAAACTTAAGTCTCACCCGTATTATTAATTAGTTGCTTATATTAAAATCTGTTTCAGATGTCGAAGGTAATGGATAGCAGCGTCTAGAAATGCCCACTGTACAACTGAGAAGTGCTCCTTCGTTGCCCTCCTTCTCCAGACACTACATGTCAATAGACAATAGTCCGAATAAAAAGTTTTAATATAAGTAACTGCTAAGGAGGGATTGTCGTTGAGAAAGGCATTTAAAAGACCAATCCAGAGCTTCATTTCACAGCAGACCATCAAGTTTTACAACAGATAGAAACAGAATCCTTAGCAAACTGGGCCCAGCCCAAAACCTACCAAATCAGACTGATAAAAGCTGCTCATATCTGCTATAGCATCAATTAAAAATCAATGTTATAGCTGAATATAGCGACGACTCCGAACTAATCGATGAAGATGCGATGCTGGTCGCTTCTTTTATTTAAAAATTATCTGAGACAAACAATGTTATTACTATAATATTGTAGCATAAAGACGCTTTGCGTATGGCTGCTTTCCAATTTCTAATTGTGCATTTCATCCTATAGTACAACTTGTAATATGATTAACTAATCAATATTAACCTAACACTAGAGCTAGAGAAGCTTTTTGATGAAAATAGTAAACAACTTGTTTCAGTTCAAACTAAATTAAAGGTCAGACCGGGATTCGAACCCTCAGCTAGCACGGTCAATCGCCCTCTTAGCCAACTAGGCTACAGTGCCGGAGGCCGAAAATCAAAATTAACTATCATATTGTCGTGCTCGCGCATTCCCTATGCAAAGTTATTCTACGACGGTGTACATGTTTAACCATTTTGGGGCTATTGCGCGGCACGGAAGCTTTAAACCGTCATAACTCTGTCCAGGAACAGTCTCCAGAACTGATTAAACTTGTGATCTCCTAGTCAGAGGATGTACTTTACGAAGATATATGATTTGTCATACCTGCGTCTACACAGTGGAATCACAAATGGGTATAGTCGCGAACGCAAAGAAACCGCAGGGGCAGGGGGTACAGAGGTACCAGAACCCTTCCACCCACGGCAATAAGTGATTTGGACCTTAACCTGATCAACACTCTTAAACCCTAAAAGGTCATGGAGTGCTCTAGTTGGATGGGGGTCTAAACTGCTTTTTGTTGTGATGTGATTTAGTGGATTTTATATATATTATTACAAAGGGTTTTATTTTTTATTTTTACCTCAGTTTTTAAATTTGTACCATTTTTACAGAATTTCATATAGGGTCATTGCTATATTATGTGTATATTGTTTGAATATTTTATTTAATAATTTAATACCAAATGTAAACAAACAAATTTTAATTTCCGTATTTGATTCACGATGTCAATCCTTCGCAGCTCGGTGAGGCACAGTGGTGCATCTCGCCGATCTACCGAAGGATTGATGCATAACAACAAGACACGCGCTAAAGACGCGCATTTTCTGAGTGATGTTAACGATAGCTTTAAATTCACTGATGTCATTATTATTCAGCGTGACCGGTAATAGTTTAAAAAGTCAGAAGGAGAAAACACATGTTTAAATTACTAAAAAAGGAGTATCACTTTACAGGATTGAATTTAAATATAGTCATAATAGATAAGAGAGGAATTTGTTTCCCTTTGAATCAATCAAACTAGATGAATTGTTGTAAATACTTAGATCAAACTATCAATCTACAGGCTATCGTCAAACATGTTGCAAGGCGTCATCTTCAGTGACATAATAGATAAGAGTTTATTAACTATCATGCCAACTTTAGAGACGGTAACCACATTAAACTAAAGTTTTCCCAATCAAAATAAAGGGTTTATACAAAATAAAAGGTTTATGCACTAGACTGCGAGACAATTAACCTTATGCAATGCAGGTTAGTATAACTATAATATCGGACTGAGTTGAAATTTCTGAGAGCATGATACCCCAAAATAAATATATGCCTGTGTCTGGCAATAGCGTTCAGATGGCTTCCGAACTTGTGCGGATAAGATAATATAAAAAATACAAATAAACTATAATAACAATCTGAAAATTAATGTATCAGTACAGATCTTATACTCGAAATCAGGCACTTTCAAAACATTTCTCTTAAATTATCTTTCTTAACACCGTTCAATTGTAACTTTAAATTAAAATATTATGATGATCCGGACGATGATAAATATTAAATTACAACTGATTATATTTATGGATTTCGGCCTGTCGATGCTGGAAGCTGATCAGCTAATCGTTAATCGTTACCATGTGACAAGAATAGTATGATGAACCTCCCAATCAGTATCTATGTATCAAAAGAAAATATTGATCTAATTCAACTCGTCGGGAGCCCTTTTGAAACATCTCGAAGTTAGAGTGCAGAGTGCATGATTACTGATTATCAGCACGATTGGGTGAAACAAAGACGAAACCGTGTGTTGATTAGAATTAAAAGAGGAAGATATTTAGTGATAAATTGTGCACTCTTGCATTTAAGTTTTAATTGTTAGACTTGTTCGATGTAGGGCCTTTAATTTAACCTAATACTAATGCAGTTACTTAATACTTGGTAAGTCTAGGGAAAACAGGTGCTAGTTGTCGGAAATGAAATGGAGTCTGTTCCTGATCGAAGTTACATGATCCTGATAGATTTGATGCAGCTCAGCACTCAGCAGCCACTGTCTTCAAATAGAGTGTTCCAGTTCTGCAATCTGCAGTCTCAAATGTTTTCGCCCAGCTTTTCTTTTCATCGTGGTTATAGAAGACAGACCTGAAGAAATACTAGTATAATGATAATATAGGTAACATGTCCAGAATGAGTAAAATTGTATTATCAGCAAATTTACTTATGTGACAACTCCCAACAGGGTGGCGCTGGCCCAGAAGTAACTGCACACAAGCAACCCTTTAATGATCACGCACGTAATTTGTGTGAAAATATGTAACTCATTTAACGAAGTCAGTGAAAAGAACCTACCTTTATTTACCAATGTCGATTTTTTGCTTGTGATGAAGTAGTCCTCGCAAATGTGAGATATGTATGTAGTTTGTTTTTAAAAGTAGGATTGTAGTCATAGTCGATGTATAGCGACGGTAGTTTACCAGCAGCTCCCTGTACAAATAGAAATGTGGTTTTTATATAATATTACTAGTTAAATTAATGAGTACAATGCAGGAATAAAAAAATGTGTCTTAAATGTTTTATATTAAATGTGTTATAATTATATTAACCACCTTATATTCGTATAATATGTACTCACAAACAATGATAGTCCCAACTGTTTTTAATTGCTTATAATTTAAACCTTCTTATTAAATAATTTAGATGACTGTGTCTGATCTAAAATTGCACGAGAAATAGAGAAAATTAGGCCTCAGACAGAACTCGACCGGGATATAACCGGCGCAGCCGGAATACCGGCTGGTATTTGGCGATTTTGTACCGGTACCGGCCGGGATTTTGGTTTTAGCCGGGATTTTTCCAAAATAAATTCAGTTTTTCTCAACGTTAATTTGAGTCCAAAATTAACAAATCTGTGAACATTTTCCTAAAACATTTTGACGAAGTCATTGAACAATGGAGACTGGAGTCAATCTATATTTAACATAATCATGGGTGTACGAATTATGGACTTCTTTCTGACTTATGACTTAATTATTGTGACTAAGTGTCACGGCTCACGGTCTTGTGTTACCGAGGGACAAGTAAAACAGAGTTCTCCGGGTAAAGAAAGCATTAATAAATGCTATTCAGTATTCATCCTATTCAATTATTCAGGTAAGGTGATGTAAACTGTAAAGTGATAAGCTCCAACGTCAAACACCATGTTCAATTAAATAAGTTTAAGTAACCAATACCAGATCACAAGATTGTTATAGTTACGGAGACTGTTGGAAACGATGCAAACCAGGATCGGACTCCTATCAGAAATAGTCGACCACCGGTCCAGCCTCCCTCAAACTCAAATGCCCTACCACTACCCCAGACCACATCCACCTCTTCAGCCAGGAACAGCGCTCCCACTATACCACTACCAGCAGTTCCTACCGCCTCAGAGGATACACTGCACGTGCCCGTTATTCCTCATGCCTCGTCTTAAATGTCCAGTCCATGAATCCTGTGCATCAAGTGCGAGTATATGGGAAGTGCCAAAAATCTCAGCTCTTATTCAGGAGAAATCCAAAAACCACTCGTTACCGTTTATTGCACTTACGGAAACGTGGCTCAAGTCCTACATGTCAGACAAATACAAAATGTGCATCACCTCTTTCTCCTGCTGAGCAGAACCTCCCCCTTAAAAGTAAACAAATCTGCATCGCCTCCCAACGACAATCCAGATATATTAAGCAGCAGAGACAATCATTTAAGGAGACTTCGATATCTATCAGGATCATGATTATACTGCCTGAGAACTCAGCACTTCAGGATGAAACATATAATATTTGGTTTTCTCGATTTCATTCATATTTAGACAGAAGTCCGTGTAGATAATTGGTTATAGAATAATTGGATATAATTTTATGCGAAGTTGTGTCTGCGAAAATATACGTGTGAACTGGTCATCCCGCAAATGCTGAAAAAGTAGATGTTACCTATCATAAAATAACCGCTCGCACCGTACAGTGTACACGACAGAGTTGTGACTGCGTTTACAAATTCTTTATCATATTGATGTGTTGCCATGGCAACCGAAACTCCATCGGAAGATCGGCCTGTAAGGCATAATCATGATAATACACAGTATCAAAACATTGCCATTGATATCATAGCAACATTCCAGAGATTAGATTATGTGTGTGTAAGAAAATGTATGTTATAGTATTATACAGTCTGCTAGAACATTCCGTTTACACATGGTGGCCGATAACAACTTGTTTAATTTATCTCCGAATTACACACAAATTTCTGAAAGTTTCGTAGACTTAAATCAATTACAGAGGGTGTGGCTATTGGCCAGCCCCTCTATTTCACTATTATGGTTGAAACTATAAGAATACAGATTATATTGTTACAGTGATTTTACAAAAGTCGAAACAGTAAAGTTAACGAGACCTTTAGAAAATGAGTTATATAACTTGCAACTTAAACTAAGATAAATTGAGTATTTATACTCAATTTATCTTAGTTGCATGAGTAATATATATATACTCTCATTTTTTTAGAGCAAACGTAATTTAAATGGCTAAACACAATTCAATAAAATTTGGCTCGATCCGATTATCCAAACTATCAAATAAATGCGAAAATGAACCTTCTTTTGAAAACAATGAACACAAATATGTTTCGATTTGACAAATTTCTCGAACCAGTGGTGGTAGTAAGTCATACCAGAACCAATTATTTCAATTGGGCACTCAGTGACTGAGCTATTAATGCCAACGTTTGCACACTGACTTTTGGCCCACCCTGTATATTTATAATATACGGCTGGAAAAAATGTAACTGGATATCTGCCACAATGCTGCTATTATTAAGGTTAAAGTAACATTTAGCACATAAAGAAGTCTGGTTTGCTAGGTTTTAATTGGTCGTATAATAACAAATAAAAATGAGTTAAGACTACAAAAACGGTCGATAGAACCTAATTATAATACCTGTATCGAGAACTCGACTTCAATGCACTGATAGCGTTGGTACTAACATTCTATCAAATTATGTCATATCTTGAGACTTGATAGCTGCCTGAAACAGTTTTGAGTCAACATTATCGTGATATTCTAGAAATTGAAACCAATTCTCAACTTTAAAAAAGCAGGTTTCAATAAATGCCATAGAATTAAATTCTACCTTTTTAAATTTTAAGAATTTGTTGATTTATTAAAATTCTGTCTCAATTAATATATAAGGGTACATGCAATGTATTTCGACACGCACTGTAGACTCACTTATTGGATTCGTGCTAGATGCTGTGTACGTCACCCTCTTAACCACCTCTATGGCGAAGATGAGGATGGTAAGTGCAAGTACAGTAATGTGAGGAGAAGATGGGTATCATTTAGCACATTTTTGCTGTAGGTGTAAAGTAGCTCTTAGTCAAGGAGTATATAAATGACGGCACGACAAGGTTCTGCAACAGATCTCTGAACATGTTATCTTGTGAGCGCCGAGTGAACACTTATAAGAACAAGGCCAGCGATGTAAGACAGTATCATTGACTTAGTCCATGCTGGGAGGAAAAAAGCAAGTACAGACGACCGAAAGGAGTCGTGGTTTGGGATCCTGAGTGGGTCTCGATATTGGATAGTGCTTTTATATATCGGACCTTATGATATTCTCAAGGTCACCAAGACGGCACAGTCTTATGGCGGGAGGTAACGGTACCATCTAAAGAGCAGATTGCTGAATCATACAAGTAAAAACTCTACCGGTACAGCAGTCTTACAGCAGACTGAGATTCAAGCGAAAGAATTGTGCTGTTATAATTATGCGGTTAAAGTTCTAGCACCGGGAGTAGTTGTTCACGGTTTGGAGAGAGCTGAGTAGGCTAGTACGGGATAGAAGGGAAGAAGCAGCTCACTGTTCCAGATGGATCTACTTCTTATCAAGGAAGAAGGAGTGGTAGGTATAGTAAGGAAGATTGGAGCCTAAGAGTTAACTTAACATCTAGAGGTACCACAAACTTTATCTCGTCGCCAATTGCGAGCTTTAACGGGTTTCCTCAAGTGACTCGATGGTTTAATTGTGACAAATCATGATACGAACTTTGATGAACCCATAATAGTATAGTGCAATAATACTATGATAGTATTCTCATAAGTTCTACCCTTGCAACCGAGTACAATGTACATACTAAGTGATATCAAGCTGCAATCTAAAATTTATTAATTGAATCTCAAAATAACTTCAAATTTTACCTAATAATTGCGACATCGTTGGAAGTGAGAAATAAAATACATTAAATTTTAATCCAATTCTGCGAGAGAAGATTTGCCCAGACAGCTGACAAGAATGTATTACCATACTTCCTGTAAATGTGGTAGTTATTAGGTCATATCAAACTTGAAAATTATGTCAAAGTTTTTCTCAGTCTCTGGTGTCAATCACCAGTAGAGTGCCCAGCCGCACCAAAACAACCTGCGATTTTTACGTGGGAAACATCATATAATACGCATGCTATACACTCTAGTTTTATAGCAGCTACTGATATCATGCGGCAGTATTAATAAGCATACAAATTCAGCGCAAAAAATTGTAAAGACGACACAAATTCATGCGGGATGTTAATAAATGTGTCCATGTTGAACTCAAACTCCGACAGAATAATATTTCAAATCGGATATATTATAATTAATCAAATGGTATCTGCTCATGTTCCGTCTATATAAACTACAAAACTTAATAAATTAGTGAAGTTCTGAAATAAAGATCACGACTAGGTTTTATCAAAATTGAAAAGAAAACCGATCGAAGTGCACTAGAGATATAGTTTAAGTTTAAAGGGTCATCATTACTAAAATCTCTTCCTAGCTCCTAGCAATCAAGTTGTTAATCCTAGTTCTACACCTAAACAAGTACAAAATTACAGCCTTACATTTTGAAATTTTTCGATATTCAGCTCAACATAAGACTTCGATACCAATAATGCATAATGGGTACATACCGATGATCGGTGTTCGTAAATATTTGATTATTTATAGTATTGAAGTTTAAAATCTTCCTAATTATGTAAGAATAACAAAAGGAATCACGTACTAGTGTGCTGTTACGAAAAACAACTATTTAATAAAAATAAATTAACAGTATTCGAGTACAAACTTAAAAATACAAACTCCAACATAATCGACAGACAAACTCAATAAATGAAGATTCCGTCGTGAAACGAGCTATATATACAGCTATAACGTAGCGCTCGACTCCAGTCTGAACCAAAATTAAGTCGCGTTCGTAGGAAATTGACCACCAGCTGCTGGTGGTTCGAATGTTGGTTTGCACACTACTGTGGTTGCGAGAAGCATTATTTGATGCGCGCGCGACCCAGTAGTGCATCGCGCTACAATTTCCGTATCGATCATTTGTCATTGCACATTCAACTTTGGGCAACACACACGCAAGATAAAATTGAAAATGAAATTAATTTAAGAGTCAGTATAAAACTTAAAAAAGTGGTCCCAATGGGGAAGAGGTCAGACGGGATTCGAACCCGTATGTTCCCGCTTGGGAAAGTTACCATTGACTTACTAACCTGAAGACCCATCAGGACCACTGTAAAAAGAAAAATGTTGCTATACTTATAATCATACTTTAAATGTTGTCGACGAAACACAGTAGAGTGACGTTCTACAATTACGTTGATTCACGATGTCAATCCTTCGCAGCTCGGTGAGGCACAGTGGTGCATCTTGTCGATCTACCGAAGGTAGATTGCGAGAAGCATTATTTGATGCGCGCGCGACCCAGTAGTGCATCGCGCTACAACAATTACGCTATACAGACCCTATATAAACAAAATTGATTGATTAATATTCATATTTATTACTATTTACATAAGTTACATACACACTCATATTTCGTTTGCGCGCGTGATCGTAGCATGGTAACGCTTTTACAATACTCTGAAACAAAACATGTAAAATCTGAAGCAGTAAACCATGATCATGAAATCGAAAACATTTATTTTTCTTTAGACTTACGAATACCAAAATATTTTTCCGCGTGTAATCCTGAAGTTCGTTCATTTGATAAGATTACGCAAACACCTAACAAATTGAGCAAAAGTTTGCCAAAGTTTAGACTAACTGAGTGCCTTAAAATATTTAAGCTTGAGCTAGAATCGCAGAATCCGTGGCTAAACCAAGAATTTAAGAATTTGTACACAAAGAAGAAACCCAAAAGAGTTCGTATAAGAATACTTGAAATCGAAAGCAGTGTATACGAACTACCTTATTGTAGGAGAAATAATCCAATTCTGATTCCCGAATCGGGTCGACTGCACGCGCCCCACTGCAAAAACACCAATCAAGAAACTGTTGATGTTATTGGTGACCGTACTTTTCAGAATAGACAATTCCATTTACAGGATATTAAACAAAGGATCAGCCAGTTGCAAGCTGCAAGCACACCTGAATGCTAAACGAGTTACCTACCAGCTAGAACTAGAAGCAGTACGTCTCTTGTTTAATGAGAAACTTCACATTTTTCCCCCAGTTATTCTATAAAAGCGTTCCTGTTATCTCATAGTTTAGTTCCATATCGCGTGTGACACCATCATCATGATCAAGTCTACAATGGATGAAATAAAAACAAGTTTAATTGTTTCTGGACGAGGGAAAATAATAAAAACCATGTTTGATCGACCGTTGTCTGTTCAGGGGAAATCTATTCGACTAAAATCTGTGAACTTTCCGATTCCACAGAACCAACCTATCCGATATTCATTTTCTGTAAAAGATGTTACAGGAACCATTCATACTCTTTCTCTACCACCAGAGAACTGGTATTGGTCTGAAGGCATATTGAAAACAATGTATACAGTTTTGTGTGAGCTCTACGATTCTCTAAATTTTAACAACTCACAAACTTACATTATCGACAGCGAGTCCCAAGATGTTGAAATAGTCAACTACAGCAATTACGAAGTAACCAATTAGGGCTATTAAATGCCGAACACAAGGATATTTCGTATTCGGATCATATGCCTGCAGGCTGTCTGTCGCTTAAGACCATGGTCGCTCTTAACTGAGCGATAAGTGACGTTAAGTGAGACCGTGAGCACCACTTCTTGCCAATTTGTTTTTGAATTACGGCCCAATCATGAAGTTAAACAGTACAAGTTGTGTTTTAACGGCAAAATAAAGCGAATTCTAGCCCTTGAAAGTTGTAGGTTTGGAAGATCAATACGGCTGCTTAAATTCATAAAAGTCTTAAGTTAGAACGGCCAAAACACCCTACTCGGCGTAAGCCAGCTGCACCCAGGAACCCTGACCGGATGGGGCTTAACTTTGAAAGTAAAAGAGTTGGAGACTTCCGGTTTTTTGTAACATGTTCCTCTTTTAAAAGTAACGTTACCTCTCCAGGAGGAAAATTCAAGACAACGTAATTGTTGAGTTATCTCAAAATCTCCAGAAAAGTCCCCTTTTGGGCCGATCAAAAGTTTGCAACTTTAACTTTGCGGATTCCTGTACTCTGGTTGGCTGAATTGTGTCACGTGGTAGCTGCCTGAACATTGGAATACGCCACGCGTGCAAATCATGCTTGTTGTCGCGCGCGAGGTCAAGCCGTCTGTTTAAATTAAACCAACTCTAGTACCACCACCAGCCGGTAACTTTTCCTGGGTTAATGGAATTGTTTAAGATCATTAAGTCACGAGTACCAATTTCGTTATACTACCTATTCGGCTTATCAAATAGGAAAGATAATTTGTTAATATCACGCCCTCTCCAACTAATCAATTTATGTACAAATCTGCATGGCTGTGGAACGAATTTCGTAAAGTTGGGCCGATGAATTTCACCTCCCCTTGCAGCTCTGTCAAGAATTTGCTTAAACAGTCACTTCTAAGAGCTCAAAACAGGTATGGAACTGATTGGTGTGACAAAAATTTCACTGAACTCTGAGTGAGAAGTGATACTTGCCTGTTATTCCCACTTACTGACTGATAATCTTATCTATGGATACCATGCTTGAAATTAGGTAAACAACAGAGCACTTCCTAACCAGTCACGTTGAACGCGATCGCCGAATGATAAAACATTATGGGAGCGCGCACAGCATTGCGCGCTGATACTCTAAATACTGTGCGCGTTTCGTCCGGAACCTGGGGGAGTTCCCGCTCTAATATATCTGACGACTTCACCTAACCATGTGCTTTCGCGCCACTGCGGGCGCGCTTGTTTCACAAGTGAGGCGGGCGCGCACTACTGCAAGCGCAAGGGCTCTGGATAGAGCAATCTGACGACAGTGATCACTCATTATGAGAACTAACCCCGACCACTTTCCCGGTCGAACCGTACCCAAATCAAACTAATTTATGAACCACGTGTATAGCCAACGTCCTTGCGGTGCTGAGCCGATGTAAAACTCTTCTGTCTCTTGTTAATATTTTAGTTGTACTGTGCATAAAAGTGTGTAGTGACAAGTGTGTAGTGGTAATGTATATTATTTATTATGGCGACGCGATATTTATAATGCAGAATTAAAAGCTGCTTTCGATATGACTGGTGGTGGGCTGTCTCCGGCGGGACATAGATCTATATAGGGGGGTACCCGGGGTACGAGTTAACGAACAGTGTTCGTGTCCTTCCACAACCCCCTGTTACCTGTGTTTCTGTCGGGGTAGCCTAATTCATCCGTTAGAATCGCAGAGTGAGCGGAGCTCATCACTCATGATATCTCGCGACGTATGCTGCATGAACGGTGCAAGACTTGCGCCGTTTGTTTCAGCATCCAGTTGCGAGTGCTTGCCCATCGAAATCATGATTAGTGATTGTGGATTTTATTGATATTACTGATTATCCATCATATTCAGTATTAATGTTATCCATTATTTATTTATTGACATCCTTCAGTCTCCAAAACGAGGTGTGAAGGTAAATTAACTTTGAGCCTTGTTTTGGCGACTGCTTAATCGATGGGCAAGTAGGTATTTGTTTTTTAGCAGTGTTGAACATTGAAACAATTATAAAATGTTTATTTTTATCTTATATAACCAATAACGTACAATATGAATGACATATGCTATAGTGACGTAACATATTTAGTGCAAAGAATTAGTAACTTGCGAGATGTGATTAAGTGATAATCGACGTTAACATTTTGCAGTTTACAGTTGCACAATGTTGGCGTCGATTGTTACTAACATTTATCTGAATTTAATACAAGTACATCATGCACAGTCTGGTTTAGTCAACAATGCAGCTCTAAACGCTGCAGACTTGCAGCTATTATAAAAATGATGAGCGCTCGATTTGAAATCCCGACGCGCATAAAACTGCCACTAACTGCTACAAACTGACACTAACTGCCACTAACTGCCACTAACTGCTACTGTCGCGCGCAAATGCGTGGGCGCGATTGT